GGAGAGAGCAATTTGTCTTTACGGGAGATGGGAAAGATGGCCTCTGTCTGCCTGGAGGTCTGAATCCCATACCCTCTGCTTGTTCTACCAGGACTTTTTCTAGCACAAACCAAGTAGGGCAATACTGACGGTCCACACTCTCTCAGACCTCGGTCGATTTGTTTTTTCAGAGTAGACCGATGTATGTCATATGGCACGAGGTGCACCAATGAGGTTCCCCAAATGATGTTTCACCCAGAATCTTGGTCGACATCACCGTGCCTGGGCCTTGAATGAGATGCAGCCTAGCTCTAAGCTGGTGACAGCATTAGATGTCGAGTAAGGAATACGTGCTGTTGATTTTAAGAGTTCTGTTTGTATTTGTTCGAGGATTAAGAAATTTTTGTAAATGCACATCTGAGATCCAGTCAGCATCATGCCAAGGACTTTGGCCTTGAACAGTTAATTGCTGCAGGGACAGAGTTGTTCCCCTGCCAGCTGGCAAACGTGTTGATCGCTAGAGGTACTCTTTGAGCTTTTATGGCTAGCTCTCATTTGAGGACCCAGCCTGCGGAGGATTGGAAGCGAATACCTAGGTATTGAAATGATTTCGCCTGCTCAATAGGTCTGCCATTAACTGTCCAGCTTGATGGATTACCAGAGTGTTTTCTGGAAAAGACCAAAACTTTTTTGTTTTTTGGTAGTTTATTTCAAGGCATTCTTTAGCACAGTACCTTGAAAGTTCCTTAAGACCTCCGCATAGCCCAATTTTTTAAACCGAAATAATGGCTGCATCATCCGCGTATAGAAGAATTGGGATTGGATGATGAGAGAGGGAGGATGGAGGTCCAAATTGGCAAAAGCTACCATCATATCATTAATGTAAAGGTTAAACAATCGGGGGCTAGTCTACAGCCTTGCTTAAGCCCTTTATGAGTGGTGGTAGACTCCATTAGATTACCAAAAATAGTGCCTTTAATCTGCTTAGTGGTATTGCAGAGTAACTGAACAATAAAATTAAGCAGATGATGAGTCGATGAATTAGCTAGTTCCCTCCAAAGTTTTTCTCAGGGAATGGAGTCAAAATCTGCCTTTAAGTCAATAAAGGCAGCAAAAAGAGCTCCATCTGAAAGTTTATAGTATTTTTCTGCCAAATGATGTAATATTAGGCACTGATTTATTGTTGAATGTCTGTCCCTAAATCCTGCCTGTTCTGGCACTATAAAGTTCTCAGAATACATCCAGTCCTGTATTTGTGGCAGAGAAATTTAGCATAGAGTTTACTAATTACAAGAAGAAGACTAATTGGATGGTAGTTGGCAGGATCTTGTCTGTCTCCTTTCTTTCTTTTTAAATTGTTTTTATAATAATTTTTATTAAATGTTACAATTAAAAAGATAAAAGCTAATACAAACTAAAAAAATGAAAGAGTAAAAAGAAAAAATAGAAAGTGCAGAAAAAAGAAAAGAAAAACGAATAGAAAGAAAAATAGAAAAGAAAAAATAAGAATATAGTAAAGAAGAAGAAAGGAGATGTATAAAGAAATAATTTCCCCCATTGCCACAACAAGCATAAACAATTTAGTAACTTATCACCCTCTCTTAAAATACAACAAATGATATCTTCTTCCCATATCTCATCTCTTATCTATATATAAAACTTTAAAGCCTCATCATTCAGTCCTGGTCAGCAAAAGTCCATTAAGAGTTACCAGAGATATCTATTTTATCTATCTAACATATCTATTTTAACCTTGATCAAAGAAACCAACTTTATATTCTTTCCCTTTACTTTTAACAATCTTGGTCTTTAATCCTTTCAAATAATGTCCTAGAACTATCATGTCCCATCCTATCATTTTTTTTTAAGAATTCAAAACCACAGCCATTTCCCATGGAAAGAATTCTTATAATTAATTTCAAAATCTTATTTCAAATCCATCAGGACCCTTAGTCCATTTATAACTTTCCAAAAACAACACTCTAATCACCCTCTTGCCATTTATTCCAAAAAAAAAAATTTTTTAAGTCCTTAAACATGTACTTAAAACTTATTTCACTAAGAATTGAAGGAAACTCACCCAGTGAATGCCATAAAACTTGCTGTTCCAAAGGTTCTTAGTATTTGAAAAGCAGTAAAAAAGTAATTTCAAAAGTGATTAAGTAAGGAGGTTCAGCCGAACTTTGCGTCCATATAGGCTACATTACAACTGTGAGCTTAGCTGGAATCGCTCAACTCCTAGCCACTTGACTCACAAGCAGACTGCAAAAACCTTGGTTCCTGCAGTCTGCTCACGAGGAGCAGCTTTCTGGAGTATGTGTGGGCGATCTCACAATCTCTCCTTTCCCCAGAGAGATTTCGCCAGCCAAGACCCACCATCTGGCTGCTGGTCTCTGCTATAATGCCATCCCCGGTCCTTCAGGGACATCTAGTTCACCAAGTCCTCACCAGAAGTCTTCTTCTGTCTCCTTTCTTATATATTGGGAGAGGAATGGAATTGAGCCAGTTTTTCAGGAGTATCATGAAGGAATTCATAGCAGAAGAGTGGGGCTATCACTGAAGCCCACCATGATGGATTTATCTTTAAGAATTCTGGAGGTATTAAATCCGCACCAGGATCTTTATTACTGTACTCTATTTTTTTGTTGTGCAATTAGTTTTCGTATTTCTGCATGAGTTACTGGTAGCCATTCTGGAATAAGGTCCTCTAATTCCAGAATGTTTGAGATACAATTTTTATTCATAGCCTTTGCTTATAGAAACTGCTTGGTGCCTCCAATGAATTGCTGATTTTATTGGGTTTCTTCCTCTTATATATGTATGTATTATTACGTATGTAAGTATTAATGGTATGCTCTATTTTAGATTTTGTGACTAGGTCTTGAATGGTAAATAAAAAATAAATAAATCTAGATAGTTATTTGCTGAGGAATGTCCAACTTTGCACTTTTTCTATTGAGCAGGGGCCAGATTTCAGAGACCTTCTCCCTGCAGACTGAATGTCATGGCTCAATGGAATAAATAGGAATACATCGATGAAATCAAGGGGACTATCATTTACTGCAAATGAGTAATTTCAGATCTGCTTAAAGACTGGTTGTTTTGGTGCCTGAACTGCAGGGGGCAGAAACTGATGAACAAAATCTAATTCTTATGAAAGTTTCTTAGCAGCCTGGATCTATAACTTCCTGGTTCTTGCTGCCAAAGGAATCTTTCCAGCTAACGAGAGGAGTGGTTTTTAAAAAATCGTTCTGACTTTGGGAGATATGTTCTTTTTTGCAGACTAAGGAAAAAAGCAGGTGTGGGCCTACCACTCCGGGAAAGCCTTTAAACCAGTTCTGCTGTGTGCCCTGATTCCCCTTTTTGTGGAGAAGAGAGGATATTTGGGAAGCATGCAAAGTTTCTAGGCTTCTTCGCAGACAGGCCAAATGGAGCCAAGAGGGAAAAGGACTTTAAAGAGAACAGGGTAAGTAAAAATAGCCCAGACCAAGACGCTCTCCTCCTCAGAAACTTGCTTGTGTGTAAGGAAGCAGTGCAGACCCCACAAATTCTGCAGGGGTGGCCTGGTCTCGGGAAAAGTGACTAATGGCCCCATAGCTTTGCAGGACTCTTCAGGGCTGGTGTCTGCGGAAGGAGGGGTCAGCTGCCCTTTTAGGTTTCCCATAATGCTGATGGAGTTTTTTTGGTGTGTTGGGGGGTGCCTTCAAGTCAACCCTGTAGTTTTCCTGGCAGCGTTTTCTGAAGGGCTTTGCCCTGGCCTTCTCCTTCATGGGGCTGCAAGAGGGGGACTGGCTCCAAATCCCCCGGCTGGCTTCCTGGCTAAGGTAGAACTAAAATTCACAGTTAGCCTGGTGTCTTTAACCCTGGGCTTCCCAAACCTGGGGTAAATATTGGGATATATTACCCACAATTGGGTAAAAGTGGTTTTTCTTTGGCTAATGACACACGAACCCATTGCCCAATCACAACAGGGACATTTAAATAAGGACTTTCTAATAAGCGGTTTTGGGGGATGAAGGAAAAGGTTTGGGAAGCCTGCTTCAGCCGCTGCACGAACTGGTTCTCAGTGCTTGCATGATGGGCATTGAAATGGTGGGCTTGGGGAGCTACCAGCCTGGAGAAGGAGGACATAAGGACTCGTGGGATCGTCAGTATGCTTGACTGCAGTGCTGCTGCTGTGTGGATGTGCAATGCCAATTCCTCCGCCACAGAAGGGGTCCCCCAGAGCACACTTACCTGCTCTTGGTCCACGTTGCTTTTCGCTTCACACACTTAACCTGAAGACATCCTCTTTCTGGCTTCGCATCCAACGCTGTGCCCCAGGCAAACCGATTACTTTGTCTGCCCCACATGCTCAGCCGTGGAAAACCTAACCCCTGTTAAAATGAGCCAAGTGTATGTAGCATGTTGTACAAGTGCAGCCTCCTGGTCTATGCCTGACCTGGGAAACACGGTGTGTGGTGTCGTGTGAGAAACTGTTTTCAAAGCTAGCAGCTGCTGAGCTGGCAAAACATTATGGAGAGCAGAAGGATCAGAAAGTTGGGGGCTTATTATTGTCTGTGGGTGGGATGAAAATACCAGCCTTCCGTTTCGTGGCTCAAAGTGCCAAAAGCATGACGATGCATCTCTTACCTGCCCGTTGAGATATTTTTCTAAGACCTTTGCAGCCATTTTCATCCAGATGTTTTGGGCCCCTGTCAGCCTCAGCCATCAGCACAAGGGGCTCCTTGCACAGAATCCAGATCGCAGAAAGTAATTGCCACTGTGCACTGGTCAGGCCCTCTGTGGACTCTTGTCCAGTTCAGGGCACCACCGTTCTAAAGGGACAGTGGCAAACAAGTGAGTTCAGAGGAAAGCTATAGTGGTGGTGAAAGGTCTAGAAACCAAGCTCTAGGACAGTGTTCTTCAAACTTGGCAACTTTAAGGTGTGTGGACTTCAACTCCCAGAATTCCCCAGCCATCATGTCCACACATCTTAAAGTTGCCAAGTTTGAAGAACACTGCTCTAGGAGGAATAGTTAAAGAATCTGGGTATATTTGACCTGTAGAAGAGAAGACGGAGGGGAGATATGATAGCACTCTTCAGGTATCTGAAAGCTTGTCACACAGGAGAGGGAGTGGGCTTATTTTCTATTACCCATTCCTCTTTGAATGAACTGTCAGCCAGTGGAACAGGTTGCCACATGAAGTGATGAGTTTTTCCAGGAGGCCTTCAGATACAGGCCGTTTGGTCACCTGTCAGAGATGCTGTAGTAGATCTTGCATTGAGGAGCAGTTGGACTAGATCAGTGCTTCTCAACCTCAGCAACCTTAAGATGTGTGGATTTCAACCCCCAGAATTCCCCACAGCATAAGTCCACACATTTTAAAGTTGCTGAGGTTGAGAAACATTGGACTAGATGACCTTTAGGGTAATTTCCAACTCTGTGATTCTATGATTTAGTATAAAACTTGACATTAAACACCAGAAATCTGCTCTAAACTAAACGTTGCATTGAAAGATACAGGTTGAACAAGTTTTTGGTGGCCAGGATAAGACTGCCAGAGTGGGATTGCAAGAATCTGAACAGTCAGTAGATGGCACCAAAGAGATGGCACCAAAGAAATGCAGACAACTTTTAATTCATTGCTGCCACTAGAGACTTTTTTTTTTTTTGCAGCTCAGCTCTGGTTGCTCTCTGTCCCATGTCATGCTTAATGGTTAGACTACTAGTTATATGGTACTGTAATTCAAAGGAATGGGAAATTTTTCATGTATTCAGCCAAGAAGGACAGGATGATGATTGGTGAAACATTACTCTTTTGTTCCTGGAGTTGAGGAGCCCTAATTTAAGAGTACATTTTTATTTGTGGACCTATTTCAGTCCTAAGAATGGGATTGCAGTAAGGAAGGAGAAACACACTTTTAAAGCTGACATTTCCTTTTAAGAACAATTGTTTTGGTTGGCCAGGTTCAGATCCTACCTTGCTTCAAAAAGACACACTTACTTACCAGATACTACTCAGTCCGCTAGCTGTATTAAAGACAGGAGGGGGACTTGTTCCTGAGTAGGCACACACAGAGTAAATTTAGCAGGACAATACATAGGTATGTATATTTGTCAGCTGTTCTGGAAAAGTAAAGCAGTTTCAGATCTGGTTTGTACAATCCATGAATCCTGGCTTCATCCATCTGCCATCCCCTTGTTCTTGTTTTCCATTAAGAGCTCACCTTCAGTGGAATTGCATTCGGTGGTTTTGCTTTACAGTCACTGAATCAACAGGGGTGTGGAACTGGCTCTGCTGGTGGTGGTGGATTATGCACAAGTATGGCACTGCTGGTGCAAGAGGAGTGTGCCGCCCGAGAAAAAAGATGTGGCCTGAGATGCTTATCAGGAAACTAACCCCGCTGACAGAGGGGCGCCTCCTCCTAAATAAACGTGGCCAAGACTGCGCTGCTCGGTTCATAACCCATTCTCACGGAGTGTGGAACTACTGGCCACCCAATCCTATCTGAGCCCAGTGTGTGGTGCAAACCCACCCCACGTGGTTAGTTTCTGGTGTGTGTTGCTCAAACGTGATTTGAACTGGTTGTAGGCATTCATCATGGAGCAGAAAAACCCTTTGGGCCAGCCCTGCCCCGTGAACGGCAGGACTAGTTGGGGTCGGAGATCAGGGCCCAGATCCACGCTTGGCCTCTGAGGCAGCAGCATCAACCGACCGACCCGGGAGAGCTGAAAACAGGGCTGGCATGACAGGGAGTGATTGTTATTTATCCTCTGAATTCCTGGGCTGGCAGAGGAATTTGCTCTGCAGGAAGTGTAAACTGTGGTTTTGAATATGTTAATCTGCTGTCTCTGCCTGCCCGTATGAGGTCATCCTGGTTCTTCAGACTCAGTGTAAATGATTTTAATTTTGTTATTTTAATAATGTATGTATGCATTAGAACAGAGCCAGTTTGGTGTAATGGTTAAGGCACCAGGCTAGAAACCAGGAGACGTGAGTTCTAGTCCTGCCTTGGTCACGAAGCCTATTGGGTGACCCTGGGCCAGTCACTCTCTCTCAGCCCTAGGAAGGAGGCAATGGCAAACCACTTCTGAAAAACCGTGCCAAGAAAACTGCAGAGACTTGTCCAGACAGTCTCCAAGAATCGGACACTGCTGAACAGATTAAAAAAAAATGCATTAGAAGAGTGGAATATATAAATTATACTATATCAGTATAAAAATTCACTCAAAATGATTATGGCTGAAGATCCTAGTTTATATTATTTTATTCATTATAAGAGGATTAAGGATGTTCTATGAACCCAGTCATCAAATTTTGGTTTGTGTAACCACAATTTACTCACTAAACCACAGCTAACTTAAGTTGGGGCTAATGTAGTTTGTCTACATGAATTCTGCGTGACTTTTAGCCGTCTGGATTGTCATGCTAAAGTATGTCATGCTAAAGTATATCATGCTAAACATGCTAAAACATGATGTGCTTCGTTTTGTTTGGTGGGGACCCAGCTCTTGGCATGTTATGAGATCCATAAGGCCGTTGCGCTAAGCCAGATGTTTATTGATCGAGCATCGCATGTTAAGTGAACACCTCCGGCCCGCGGGAGGGCGCGCGCTATCCGCCTGGGCGTGCGACTGGCAGTTTCGCGACGCTCCCTAGCCACGGCCTGCGGTTCCCTACGGCGGTTCCGGGCCCAGCCCCTCCTCCACCGCCTTCTGGGGGTGTGTGGCTTGGGTGCCGTCGCTATTGTTTGCGAACCGCCGGGCGTCGTGCGCCTCATCCGCGGCGGAAGAGTTTCTCCCCGGCCCCTGGCGAGGCGGCGACGATGCCTCAAGATGGCGGAGGCGGCTGAGCTGAAGGTAGGCGGGGGGGGCGCGACCCCCGCCCCAAGGAGGGGGGATAAGAGGGGCGGGACTACAAGGCCTATCATCCTCATCGTCCCACTCCTTGGGGAGTGGGGGGCTAGGGAAGGTAGGGCATTACTGCAGGAAGCGGGAAATGCGTGGGGGGGTCAGGAGAGGGGGATGGTGAAAGTCGGCCTGTCGTCCCATCCCTCGCGAGGAGGGGCAGGCGGGGGGGTGGTGGCTTACGGGGCGTTTTAGGGAGAGACGG